TAAATGTAAGTTAAATAAGTTATTCCTTAAGCTTCTTATTCAGTCTAGTTTTTTTTTTTTAATTCCTTTTATTCAGATACCTGATGGTCACAGAGAGAATCAAAGAATTTTTATGTGATCTTAAGAGGAAAGAGCCTTAAAAATAAGTGAGGCTGGGTGTGGTAGCTCACACCTGTAATCTCAGAATTTCAGGAGGCCAACTTGGGCAGATCACTTGAGCACAGGAGTTCAAGACCAGCCTACACAACAGAGTGAAACGCTGCCTCTACTAAAAAATGCAAAAATTAGCTGGGCATGGTGGCATGTGCCTATGGTCCCAGCTATTTTCAAGGCTGAGGTGGGAGGATCACTCGAGCCTGGGAAGTCAAGGCTGCAGTGAGCCATGATTGCGCCACTACACTCTACCCTGGGTGAGAAGACCGTCTCAAAAAAATAAAAAATAAAATGAGGGGGCCTGAGAGCTACTTAGGAATAGTACAAGGAATAAGTAGTACAAAAAATAAATCTTTTGTGCATTGTAAAAAGGAGAAAAAAAGGATGCTAACTGGGAAGAGGCATAGATTTATTACAATTAAAGCAATTAACTGCTCAAATTGGATGCTATGGGACCTCAAAAATGGCAGTGTACCTCTCTACATGGGGTGAGCAGAGAAACTTTCACAGATCTTTTTTGAGTAGAATTTGGGAGAGGAAGAGTAGGTACCACAATATGAGTAATGTCAAACATGTTAAAGCTTAGCTAATGGCAACAAGGGATAAGACAAGATAGGAGGATAATATTGGAAAGATACAAAGGGGTTAGATCATCAAAGACCTTAGTAGGTAGTCAATGCACTTAGATTGTATCCCAGATATAAATAAGTGAACCCAGATTTTTAAGAAACGATGTGGCATAATTAAGTGAAAGTTCAGAAAAGTAAATTACTCATTCTAGCTGCCGTAGAGTAGGGCAACTGGAATAGATTAAAACCAGAGGCAGGGAAAACAATGAAGAGTCCTTTGCAATAATACCGGCAAGAAAAGATAAAGCTTTAAAGCTGAGGACAGGCTGGGCGCCGTGGTTCATGCCTGTAATCCCAGCACTTCCGGAGGCGGAGACGGGTGGATCATTTGAGGTTAGGAATTTGAGACCAGCCTGACCAAAATGGTGAAACCCCGTCTCCACTAAAAATACAATAATTAGGCGGGCATGGTGGTGCACTCCTGTAATCCCAGCTACTCTGGAGGCTGAGGCAAGGGAATTGCTTGAACTCAGGAGGAGAGGTTGCAGTGTGCCAAGACAGCGCCGCTACACTCCAGCCTGGGCGACAAGAGCCAAGCTCTATCTCAAAAAAAACAGCTGAAGGAGAAAGCATGAGAGTTGGGACAAACTGGATACATTCATAGAAATCTTCAGCAACATCATCATGATGATTATTATTATTCGAGACAGAGTCTCACTCTGTCACCCAGGCTGGAGTGCAGTGGCACGATCTCGGCTCACTGCAACTTCCGCCTCCCGGATTCAAGCGATTCTCCTGCCTCAGCCTCTCGAGTAGACGGAACTACAGCCATACATCACCATGTCCGGCTTTTTTTTTTTTTTTTTTTTTTTTTTTTTTTTTTTTTTTTTTTTTTTTTTTTTTTATTTTTTTGTAGAAATGGGGTTTCACCATGCTTGCCAGGCTGGTTCCAAACTACTGACCTCGTGATCCGCCCACCTCGGCCTCCGCCCACCTCGGCCTCCCAAAGTGCTGAGATTACAGGCATGAGCCACTGTGCCCGGCCAGCAACATTATTAAGATAAACACTAGCTGGGCCTGGAGGCTCACACCTGTAATCTCAGCTATGCTGTAGGCTGAGGTGGCTCTGGAGTCTCTTTAGACCTGTAAAGCAATGTATTGTCAGTGATGCAGAAGTAGGAGAAATCTTTCTTCAATTCTCTGATTTAGCCATCTGTTCATAATACTGAAAATAATTGACCCGTAAGTATGATATTACTATAAACTACATATTTCCATTTATGCCCAAGGAGATTATTTAGAAATTTGAAAGTAAGAATAATCTCAAATTTTGGCAAAAGAAATTGTAGTAGGAACTCACTATGGTTTCCAGCAATGATTATGTTATTTGAATATTGTTCTTGAATATTGTTTTTGCATATCTTGACTAACTCTGGACGCTGAGGTGGGAGGATTGCTTGAAGCCAGGAGTTCAACAGCAGCCTGGGCAACGTAGAGACCCTCCATCTCTAAAATAATAATAATAAACACTCAAAAAAGACACAAATATGATCAGCTCCTCTTGAATTCTATTTCACCACAGTATATACAAGGAACACAACTTTACTGTTAGGTCTTCATAAAAAAGATATAATTATGAAACTATGAATCAAAATAGCCCCTCAATGTGTTTTATTTTCTATTTAAAAGCAGTGCATCCATTACAGACTACTTGCAAATACAGAAAAGTACAAAAATGGAAAAATATATCCATATGTCTACACCCAAAGAAAACTGTCATTGATTAAACCAAATATATTACTTTTATTTTTTTCTTCATCCTACTCAAGGTAGATGATAAATATATTATTTTTACTTCTTTTTTTTTT